TATAGGATTGTGACCAATTATTTTATTGTTTTAAAATATCTCCTGCTATGTTTCTTGTGTTAGTTAAAGAGTTAAATTAATAGTTAATAGGCATACCTTGAGCGTTTGAAGTATAATGTTAAACTTCTGTAAACAATCATACTAAGTCCCTCTATCTTTGTCATATCTATCATCTCTCTCTCATATATCTTTCGTATATCATCTCTCTCTCACACACACATCTCTATGTATTTCAATACACAAGGATTTGTTTAAAAAAATCTACCTGAAATATATGCAAGCAAGAAAGAACCAAATTTTGGGTAAATGGAGCATATTGGAAGTTTAATATATCATTATTATTATTTTCCATTTTGTGTATAGCCTGATATTTCCTTTCTAAAATATATATATTGAGTGTCATAATAATAAGAACAATATGAACTACAGTAGAATGAGATAGGAAAAAGAGAAAGGGAGAAATAAAAGAAGAAGCTAAAAGTACAAAAAAGTAAGAGGAAGATAAAGAAGAAAAAGAATAAAATTAGAAAAAATAAAATATAAAAAAGATATAAAGAAATGGCTTCTGATCTTCACAACTGTTACAAATACAATTATATTTTAACTTCTGTCTCTAAAGTTTCATCATTATTGTCTTCTTTCTATAGCCAATCTTGTCTAATCATAAAAATCATAAATCATACTCATTTTTTTCATTTTTATGCTAAACTCCATGAGGGTTTAATCTGGTATTTTCTTAATTATTCACAACTCACGTCAGTCACATTTTTTACTGATAATATCAACATTAATACAGCAATCTTTCTCAAATGTCAAATATATTTATTTTAATTAATTAATTAATTAATAAAATTATTTATTCATTGTCCACTTCCAAAACAACTTGAATTGATTTATAATGCAAGGCAAAACAACTATTTAAATGATCAGCAAGTCAAACTAAGGCAGCTGAAGTAACATCAGCATCCCTATGTTCATAGTGCTAAAAAAAAAAAAAAAATCTTTAAATCCCTTTTCAATGCTTGGAGGCTGGGGACATTCCTTATTTTAGGAGGCTGGCTGTTTATCAATATATATTTGTGTGTGTGTGTGTGTGTGTGTTGTATGCGCACATACATGAATGACGGTGAGTGGTTTAAAAAGTCTGTTTTTAATATCTTGTTTAAGCATAAAGCTATTCTTATGGCAATGGAATGATTTTAAATCTAAGATTATGGCTGATTTCATTGTTGATGAAATATTGAGTAAATTAATAAATGGAAATCTTAAATGTAGGACAGATCATTTTTGTTTGGGCCTGGAATAGTTCTTGGGGAAAAAGAATGTAAAAGAAAACAAGTGTATGTTCCTGTATGTAAAAGAGGTTGGGAGGAGGAGGAGGAGGAGGAGGAGGAGGAATTTCCTTAATTGAACAGAAACCAGTGTTCCAACCTGCTGAATGATTGGGGGGCAATTTAATACATATTTTTCTATATTTTGGCAGAAATGAGCAAATAAAAGGACAAAATCAAATTCTTACTTTAAGATTTCAGGAAATAATAAATTGTCAAGTAGACAGAAAAAATGCCCAATCTGCTTTCCCCTTTCTGTGTTGAAAGGAGGGGAAAAATACAGAGATTCTTTAGCAAAATGAACAGTGATAGATCTGCTAATTATCATCCTAATTAAAGATCTTCACTTTTGCAAGGCTGCATAGATTTGGAAATTTGAATTACAGATTACTCCAGAATTTTAAGATTATTTCTTTCACATTCAATATAAGTAATAAAGGCATAGCAGTTGAGTTTGTATGTCGACAGCATTTTAAATATTCTTTTTTTTGATGTTGCCCAAATTTTGCTGAGTCAGAGGATCATGGAAAAGGTACTTTAAAAATACCCACATCTCTGCTAGTCTAGGATCTCTTTTAAGACATCCAGACTTGCTTGCTAGTCATCTTCCAATTTGTGTGTGTATGCCAGTTTCACTATAGAAGCTATATTTCCTTTCCTGATTTTATATATTCAATTTCTTTTGCTTCCTCCATTCTTTTACTTACATCTTTTCTGTGTATTCTATAACCCTGCTTATACCAAAATGGAATTGTATGATGGGTATGCATGTATGTTTGTGTGTATCCGTATGTGTATCTGTATGTATATCTGTTTGTGTATTTCTATGTATGTATTTGTATGTATGCAAAGGTATGTATGGTAAGATAGTCAATGGCTGGTATAGTGAGCTGACCAAAGGAGGTCACGGAGGCTGCTGATTCAAAAACTCCTCACAATATACAGTACAGAAGTTTCCACCCTGATTCCAACACCCCAAGACAATAAAGCTGGAAAGAGGATGGGTGGAATCTGATAAGTGTCAAAGCCAACTGTCCTGGATGAAATTCAGAACATTCAGGAATAATCAGTAAGATGATACCAAAAGATGAACTGTTGAGAGACTGCCTGATATGGGAAAAAGATGAAGCAGAGGAAGTACCATGGCAAGACAATACCCTTGATCTTGGGATGGTCTATCAATAGATAGGTGAGGTGGCTGATATTGGTAAATCCAACTAGTGGCTGGAAAAGGTTGGAGTAAAAGACAGTACTGAAGCACTGATCATTAAGCACTATGTACTAGATCCACAGAAATAGCGGTCTACTATAGTAGACCGAACTCAAGGTGCAGACTACATAGAGAGCCTCAGAAACAGTCCAACACATAGTGGCAGAGTATAAGATTCTGGCAGGAACAGCACTCACTGAATGGCACAACTAAATAGCTGGCATTATGTACAAGTGTATCTGTACAGTATATGCTTAGACCCTCCAAAGTCCAGATGGGAGATTCCACAGAAGGTCATGGAGAATAACAGGGCTAAGATCTTGTGGGACTTCCAGATCCAGACAGACAGGTACTCACCAACACCCAGATATCATGATAGTAGACAAGGACTAGATGACAGTTGTTGTGATAAATATAGTGGTGCCAAATGACAGCAACTTCAGGAGGAAAAAGCATGAGAATCTGGTGAAGTACCTAGGCCTGGAGGAGGAACTAGAAAGAATGTGGAAAGCAAAGGTCAAAGTGATGGTAGGAGACTCAGCCTGTGACTCCTAAGCTGGGAGAGCGACTCCAACAGATCCCAGGAACAGCAAAAGAACTCTCGGTCCAGAAGAGGACAGTGGTGGAAATAGCTAAGATACTGTGCAGAACCCTCAAACTTCTAGGCCTTTGGTAAAGAACCTGATATTGATTAGGGACTGAAAGGGATTTTGTTTGTTTGTTTATTACATGCCTACATATGTCAAGAGAGCCAACTGGCAGAATTTGATTACTGAACCATGAATTAATGAACTTACAAACTACGTAAAAAGACAATTGAACCTCAGTCCAATAGTGTCTTGTACAAAGGGGTCACTAAACCTTTTCAGAATAATTATTTAGTAACTACTGAATTTTAACTTGATGGTTGGCAAACTGGGTGGAAGTTTCTTAATGTGGGTGTGAGAAAAGCTGAATCAGCAAAAAGCACAAAATCCTCCAAAAGTTCATAGAAAGCATAACTAAAGCACTTCCATCTATTTAATCACAGAATAGATGAGGGATACCAGAAGTAGCTATTTTTTTCTTAGATTCTCATTAATTTGGAATCCTTATACGTTGTATGAAATAATTGAAGAAAAGCTCTATCATGGTTATTTCTAATGAGTTTCTATCTTTCACTCTCATTGTTTCATAGTATAGTCCTCTAAAAGAGCTGATTGAAGAGTCCATATCTACTTTCAATTTAATTGGAAATATTGTAATTTTCTTTATTTCTACTCATGAATTATGAACACTGGGCTTGCAAGATTCATCTTAAATTAATTCAAAGCCATTTTTGTGCATAATGATCAATTGCATGGCAGGTGCCATTGAATTAGTATCAAAATAAAAATATGTCAAATTTCTCCTGCTGTAATAATACAACCAAAACTTTTAGAGAATTGGTATAAAGGGGCTGAATGGAATCTAATAAACCAGGTAGGCAAAAATATGAGAAGTGAAAAAAAAGGAAACTGAACAAAAACATTTTGTCAGCAGAACCTGATTATTTGTTAAAACAGGTGATAAAACAGCTATAATAGCAATTTGTCTGTTATACTTTTCTATAATTCATTTCTGAGGTTATGACAGCAGAAATGAATCAGTTCCACTTGAAATTCCCCTATTGTCAACTGGCTGCTCCTATAGGCAGAGGATAAATTTGGTAATTTCTCCTAAATCCCATAAACATCAGAGCCATCTCGTATAGTTTTCTAGAAGATGGATGAGCAAGCTGTGTTTTAAAGCCCTAAACATCTTAGGCTTAGGATACCTAAAGAGACTTTCATATGGAATTTTGTCTGCTTATTAAAAAAAAAAAAAAGCAGGGATAGTACTCTGTAATTGATTAGAATATATGAGAGGGATTTCTTAGCTGTGACATCTAATTTCAGGAACTTCCTGCCTGCATATTGTTATTTACTTAAGTTCATTTGAACAAACGTTTTATCTGCATATTGGTTAATTTTGAGTATTCACTTTTTAGTTTGTTTTAGTGTTTAGTTTTTTTTCTTTTGGAAAAGGAAAAACAGCATATTTTGATGGGATGAAATTATGGAAATGTGTCAGTAATGAACACGTGTTATATTTTAGTCACAAAACTGCAGCAACTAATAATTTTTATGATTATAATTATAACTTAAACTCAGAGTAATTATATAGCCAGACATAAGTACAGAAATAAAATATATGAGATACAGGTTATAAATGTGGGTTTTTTAAAAATACTATATCTACTAAATAGATTGCACATAAAACAGTACTGCACTGGAGATATAACACAGATTTAGAATATTGCCCCAATTCATAACTTTTCTTTAGATATGTAAAAATTAGCATGTAATGATGTCTGTCTAACTAGTCTTTGCAATATATCAAAACACTGAAAAACTTGATATCTCTTAGATGATAACATTTTTCCCTCTTTTTTTTCTAAGGGAAGAACTTTTGCAAGCTGGTGTACCAAAATATCCATATCCCGATTACCTTACACGTACTGATATGGAACTAAGGAGAATCATAAATGCTCAGGTAAGATTGGGAACTGAAATGTATATTTGCATTAATGCAGCCATAAACTGATAATTTACCACTATCAGTAAGTTTCGGGAACTCCTGAATTTTGGGAAATAAACTTGATATTTTTTGGAAATAATGTATTTTAACCAAGTTTAACTTTGTCATTACTACTTCACATATATATGAAATTTTGATATATTTATGCATATTTTTAAGAATTGGAAAAAGTTGTTGTACTCTCAACCATCAGGAAAACACTAAAATACTATCTTTTACAGGTTATAGAGTAGAGGTCACCAACCCCGGTCTGTGGACTGGCACTGGTCCACGGCATGCAAACAAGCGAAGCCCCATCCACGTAGTGCAGGCAGCACATGAAACCACGCTTCCGCCAGTCCATGGAAAAACCTCTCCACAAAAGCAGTCCCTGGCGCCCAAAAGTTTGGGGGCCATCGTTATAGAGCATAATAGTGAGGGTTTCAAGCCCATTAAGTCTAATATAACTATTCTCAAGGCCATTTATTTTTTGGCCCTCTGTATGGGCTCTGTCTGCCAGATGCTTGGAAAAGAGAAGGCTAAAGAGAATATTATAAAATAGATTACGAAAAAATCTATACTTCCCTTCTTATGAATTAATTATTTCTTTGGTTATATATATCAAATTGGTAATGACTCTTAAACACATAGATTTTCTTATGGATATACACTATTCATATCACAACAGAAGCAATTTAAAATGAATAGATGTACTATGAATGAGCAATAGAAAACATTGTTTAAATATACGTTCTTTACTTAAGCTATTTACATTACACACAGTTTTCCCCATGGGGGAAAAATGTTGAGTGACTGCAGGTGCTACTTTAGGGTGCAGTCTGACTCTGGAATCAGTCTGTGTGACTTTGCTGCCCCATATTTTAGAAACTACCTCATAACCAATGGAAAATTTGAACATTATTCTCTTCATTTTTAATGAAATATTAGCAAATATTAGCAAGTTCAACTGATATACAACTTTAATTCACAACATCAAGGTAGCTCAATTCAAGATACAGACATTCAATTGTTTTACACAGCCAGTTAATATGTGAACGATAGTTTTTGCATATTTATACAAAAATGAAAATCATCTTAAAAAGTGCCCCCTACAAATTATTATTCTGACTCTGGAATCAGTCTATCTGACTTTGCTGCCCCATATTTTAGAAACTACCTCATAACCAATGGAAAATTTGAACATTATTCTCTTCATTTTTAATGAAATATTAGCAAATATTAGCAAGTTCAACCGATATACAACTTTAACTCACAACATCAAGGTAGCCCAATTCAACATACAGACATTCAATTGTTTTACACAGCCAGTTAATATGTGAACGATAGTTTTTGCATATTTATACAAAAATGAAAATCATCTTATAAAGTGCCCCCTACAAATTATTATTCTGAATGTTCTCTAGCATGATGAGTGGAGAATCCACCGGTGGGTTGTCTTAGCTTTCTTGCCCAGATGAGACTAAGTCAGAAAGTTGCCACGCCTCCCGCTGGGCTGGACTGTACCCAGTTTTCGACTTAGTCTTCGCGCAGCAGGACGCATTAATTTAAGGCTCCTCTGACTTAGCTATCAGGTTGAGAACTGGTGGACTTTCCACTCACCATTCTGAATTGGCTAAGTCAATTGGCTTATCCCAAATTTCATTTATTTAAAGCTGCTGTTTGGGCACCGCACAAAAGCTCCTCAGCCTTACTCTCTGTATTGGCTGACAGACCTTTGGGCCTTTTCCTTGAGACACCAGCAGGCTCTTCAGGGGCTTTCCCCTTTATGACCTTAAGTGTTAGGGAGAGGTATTATATTTCCTTGCGTATCAGTGGGCCCAATCCTCTTGGGGGGGAGCCCACCAACTAGACATTCATTACAGGGAGATTTTTATCAGCTACCACCTGTCCTTATTAGCCGCAGGCACTGTGCCGCAGGGCCTAGCAGATAGTTTTAGATAACTATCTGGCTGTCAGCCATTGTAGTTGTTCAGAGCCCGGGGCTTCCCTCTCCGACAACCCAGACTTGTAATCCGCTCCTACCCCGGATATCTCCTGTCTGGAATATCTTGGTTACAATGGCAGACAGTGCAACTCCTCAGCCAACGCAGGGCTCTTCTGTTTCCCTCGCCAAGAAGAAGCGTAGATCCTCCAAATTGGAGGCTGCGTGGAGGATAAAAGCCAAGGCAAAGGCCATGTCCACCAAGAAGCCCTCCAAAGCTGCTGAGAGAGAGGCCTCGAGGAGACATCAGGCACTAGAAAGAGAGTTCTCCAGAGCTCAGAGGCTCACCTCCTGTGGAGCAGAATTGGTTTCCCCTGTTCCACTGGACCGCTCACCCTTTGAGCCTCAATATGCACCATTAAACACTGCCCTGAAAGCATGGTCTCCTCAGGGGAAAACTGGACAGGTGGATCTCCCTCTCTCCTCCCTTACAGGTAGTCGGGGCGCTTCCCCTTCCCACATATCTCAGCAAGGTCCAGAGGTCACATATACGCCTATGGCGGCCAGCATTCGCCCGACAGAGCAACAGGGGCGTGGCCAGACCAATTTCAGGCCATTATGGCTCAAGCCTTTGCACAGTACATGACCTCCTCCATGGGTCAACAACCTTCTCAGGTACCTGTGCCTCCTCCAACAGCTTTACCCCTGGCAGAGCCTGAGTTGTTTCCCAGCTCTGTCTACTCAGACAGATCCTCTCAGGTGGGAGAGGATGATTCCGTGAATTACGAGACTTCTGGCATGCCTATGTCAGACGACAAGGAAGCAGCTCCAGATCCGTCACCTCTTCGATCCTTCTCTGTTTAGGTCGCTGCTCCTGAAAGCGTGCACCTCAGCCAACATCGCTTCCAAACAGGAGCCTAAGCCGATTCCTCCCACCACCCAGAATTCGAACCCTCTGTTCTCAGAGCTAGTGATCGAGGAGAAGCAGATTCCCTGCCTGCCCTTCTTTTGCAGCACGGTGGAAAAACAATGGTCCTCCCTTGGCACTCTCCCCACTCCCAGCGGGACAGAGAAAAAACTATTCAATGTCTCTTCCTCCTTCTCTTCGCTCCTGGAAATGCCACTTGTGGATACACCATTAACCTCTTTATTTTCTTCTTCCACGGTACCAGGGGACATGGCCGAGGCCTTGAAAGCAGAGGAAAGGTGGTTTGAATTTTCCCTCCTTATGGCTCATCAAGCCTCGACGTGGTCAGTAAGGGCAGCGACATTGTCGTCTTTCTTCGCCAGGTCTTCCATCATCTGGCTTCGTGAGCTTCAGGCGCTGATTCCCCCAGACCAGGTGCGAGCAGCTCGCACCTTTCCTCCCAGGCAGGATCGCCAAACAGGACTGCCAAGCTCCCAGAGCTAGGCCACAATACCAGTCTAAACGGCCCTTTTGGGGATCCAGAAGCCATCCGTGACTCCAGGGACAGCTCCCCTATAGGTGGTCGGCTTTCTCTCTTTGCCAGCAGATGGGATGCCACCACCACGGACTACTGGGTGTTAGACACCATCCAACACGGTCTGACCCTGGAGTTTTTAACCATACCTCCAGGCCGCTTCCTCGCTTGTCCCAACTCAAGGAATGCTACCAAGGCAAGACTCATGTCCATGGCCATCTCCCATCTACTGCAGATAGAGGCCATAGAACCAGTGCCCACGGAACAGAAGGGAAAGGGTTTTTACTCCATTCTGTTCGTGGTCCCGAACGCCTGGGGGGGGCTGGAGGGCCATATTGGACTTGAAAGGACTAAATTACCACTTGACCTACAAGTGGTTCAAGCTGCAGACTCTCAAGTCTATCCTGGCCAGTGTCAGGAGGGGGGATTTCCTTCTGTCCTTGACGGAAGCTTATCTGCATGTTCCAATCCATCCCAAGCACCGTAAATTCCTCCGATTTTGCTATGCCCACCGGCATTTTCAGTACAAGGCACTTCTGTTTGGCCTTTCTTCGGCCCTACGGGTATTCACAAAGATCCTAGCAGCCTGCCTGAGAATGATTCTGGTGCATGTGCAACATTATCTGGATGATATTCTCATCCAGTCCCATTCCTTCCATTTGGCCCAATCAGACCTGGCATTCACCATCAGGACTCTTCAGGAACACGGATTTTCCGTGAACTTCCAGAAGAGTCACACAGTCCCTGCAACTCATCTCCTTCACCTGGGGGCAGTCATAGACTCGGAGCTCTGCATGGTTTTTCTCTCCCAGGAGCGTCGGGACAGCATCCAGATCCTCGTACACTGGGTCCGAAGGGAGAAAGTGGTCCCTCTAGTCGTGCTATCACAGTTGTTGGGGAAAATGGTCTCCTGTATGGGGATCATCCCGTGAGCCAGGTCACACTCCAGAGATTTACAGTGGTTGCTTCTTCCCTTCCAGAAGTTGGGCAGCAGCTCTTCCAACAGAAGAGTAAAAGTTCCACGCCAGACCTTGTGTTTCCTACAGTGGTGGACCTCCCCAGCCATGGCCAAGGGCTTGCTCTTCAAGGAGCCAGCCAGGTTCACCTTGACCATGGATGCAAGCCTGTTTGGCTGGGGGGCTCACCTCCAATCCCATTTAGCTCAGGGTTGGTGGTCCCATTCGGACTTAAAGCACAGCATCAACTGGCTGGAGCTCAGGGCCATACATCTGGCCTTACGCCACTTCGTTGACAGGGTAGTGGGACAGCACGTTCTGGTACTCACCGACAAAGTAGCAGCAAAGGCCCACATAAACAAACAGGGAGGGACCCAATTCAAGTCCCTCATGAGCGAGGCCCGCCACTTGAATGCTTGGGCAGAGGTCAACTTTGGCTCTCTGAAGGCAGAGCATATTTCGGGGGAGGCAAACTGTCAAGTGGACTCTCTGAGCAGATCTCCGGTGAACTACTCTGAGTGGCACCTGGACCCAGCTCTGTTCAGGGAGATCTCAGACAGATTTGGTCAGCCCCAGTTGGACCTGTTTGCCTCTTCAAACAACTCTCAACTCCCGAGGTTCTTCTTCAGGTTCCCA